CCCTCACGTCTTTTCGTGTAAGACACACACACACACATACACACATACATATATATATATATATATATATATATATATATATATATATATATATATATATATATATATATATATATATATATTTAGTCAAATTTTCGGACTAATTCTGTGGACAAGACATACTGGTATAAGATGACAACTGGAAAAAAAGTATAAAGGAAACTTACATTAACGAGAAAGATGCTTACACAGAAGCGTCTTCTTTTTTTAAATTTATATTTTGCAATGTATATATATATATATATATATATGTGTGTGTGTGTGTGTGTGTGTGTGTGTGAGAATTGATTTCAATTCGATATTTTTATTACTTTAAAAGGCATTTAGAGCATACTCGTTTTTGAAATAAATGCCCCATTTTATCTTATTTTAAACAGTGTTTATTACGTCCATCGGCCTGCCCTTTCGAGAAATAAGAATAAAGAAATTCTCTTCGGTAGGGATTGAACCTGCGTCCACCTTTGTAGAAGAAATCCCTGCTTGCATACACCACAGTCCAGTGAGGCCCTATTTTTCCTTTTAAGGAATCAAACTTCCTCAATCAGATATTTCTTCTCGAAAGCACATAACTTCCGTTTCGTATACGAAACGTAAATCAATTTCTAAAGAATTCATGGATTTGTTTTTAATCCGACATTTATATTCAAACTTTATTACACTGCTTAAAATAAAATAAAAGTGTGGCGCCTAGAGTATTCACTATAAGTTTCAAATTACTATATATATATATATATATATATATATATATATATATAGTTACTTCCACGAAATCGCTAAAAATTGTTATTATTTTTTGAATATTTAATAAATTTTTTGCTCATTTTTAAAACATTCGAAATTTTAATTAAAAATAATTGTCTTTTTTGTCTCAGCGATTGTACGAACTTTAGCAGAGCAAAATTTAGCCTCTTTTCTGCGGTGACAGAAAATTAATTTGGAAATTTTCCCAAAAATCAAATAATTGTCGGATTTTAATTCAATTTTTAGGACTTATTCACAAATGAATTAAATCATTTTTGAATTTTTTTATTATAAAATCTTGGTAAAACTATATATTTTACATGTTTCACCCATTTATTTTTGTAAGTCTTGAGAAATTCAACGTGATACTTTATATTTACTATATTAGTTAATAGTAGAATTCTTTGAAAAATACAAATCATTGAATTTTTTTTTCAGAATCGGATTTCGACTTACTGAAAATCTGTTCTGAATCGAAAAATAAAAAAACGCAATAAAACTAAGACATTTAATTAGAGAAACTTAATTTAATGAATCATTTTTTACAATTAAAGCGAATAATTTATAAAGTTTTTAAATCTTTTAAAATTCCGTTTCAATGTGATAACTATTAGGAAATATTGTTAAGTAAAACTATATTTACTAAACATATATTTTAAAGCTTATTATAATCTGACAACCCTGAATATTTCAAAAACGATTTCGATTTGTGCATATCGTTAAAAGGTCACGTGTTTTAAATGCTGCCCCACTTTATAAACATTATCGTCTGCTCTACTATACTTAACTATGAACACGCTCGGCGGTCAATCGGCTGTCAATAAATCGATTAACACATCACAAGAACAAAACCCTGTAGTTAAGAAATGATTGTATACAAAATTTTATGCTATAAGTAATATTTTTTGAAGTCAGATTAATTTAACTTTAAATTTGCTAATTTTCATATGTTGTTTTTTATTTCTGCAATCTTTTTTTAAACGAGAATTAACTTTTGTTAACAAATCATTCAAAATGGAAGAAAAAAACCCGATTCCGATCAATATAATTTCTGTGTGAAATACACCAGAGAGTATTTTGCTTACTGGAAATAGTAAATGTAAAAATGTTAAATCCTTTTATCTTTCAATCAAAGTTATATATATATATATATATATATATATATATATATATATATATATATATATATATATATATATATATATATATATATATATACATACACATATATATATATATATATATATATATATATATATATATATATGTGTGTGTGTGTGTGTGTGTGTGTGTGTGTGTGTGTACTTGTGCAATGCATAGCTGCTTGAAATAAGTAATTTGTGATGCAAGTTCGAATTTCAGTCGCTTTTGGTTACATTCACTTACGTGAAATTACACTTGTGGAATGTATAAATCTATCGCTTCTCCCCCCTAGCTGTAGCTTAAATGACAACCAGCCTAAGAAAAGGACAACAAGTCTGATTTCAAAACCTGAGTAGGGCTGTTTCTGGGAACCTCGTGACGATGTATACCAGTGGTCCCTATTCAGTTCTGCGGGAGATTGTGGTTGGTTCTGCACAAGCCTTCATCACAATATTGTAGTCTCATTGTTTTGTTCTCAGTGGTGAATTGTTGAAAATCCCTTGCGCCGTGAAACTGTCACCATTCAGTGTTGATTTTTATATCTACTAGTCGTACAACCCGTCTTTGATCGGGTCTTTCATTACTGGGAATTTTTTGCCGTTCAATTGGAGCAGTTTAAGTTTAAAGTCAGCCCACCCGAAAATCAATATTAGTAAGAACATTTGAGTGCAACTGAGACACATCCCCAAATGGAGGTGGGGTAACAATTTGAAAAGGGAACTTTATAATAATAAATAATATTGTTGTAATGATTTAAACCATTTTTATTAAAGTTTTTTTTATGAAAGATATATATCCCAGAACAGATAGTAAATAGTAAAACGCTGGTGAGAGTCATAATGGACAGAAAGTAGTGGAGAGCCATTGTCGCCAACAATTTGAACTCAAAACCGGCACTAAAGAATTATCTATCAAACAAAAACTTTCATCAAAGTCGGATGAAAACTATGAAAGAGCATAAACAACACCCAATCACACACACACACACACACACACACACACACACACACACACACACACACACACACACACACACACACATATATATATTTAGAATTATAGATATAGATACACATTCACCCTGCTCCCTCTCTCATATATACAGAGTAGAAAAGTAAAAAAAAATAATATGCTTAACTTTTACTAATAAGTTACTATTCGACAATGTAGTTTCAAGAATGATATTTATAGCCATCCATGTTCAGAATTGTAATGCAATTTGTAGTATTCAAGTGGAACACATTACGAGGGGAGATGCAAATCTGAACGCATCGTGATGCTGAAAAAAAAAGGCATACAAACGTTATGATCTATTTGACACTACACGGAGTTAACCCCATAGTAAATTTAGATAGGTAAGCAAATTACTCATGTAAAATGATGAAGGCCATGATTGCTTAAACTCTGGAGCCATAACATTGTCCATCTTAGTGCAGCTAATATAAGTTTCAAAATGGGAAGAACAAGTTTGGAGAAGACGTTGACAATCATTGAAATGTCATTAAGAATGACTCAATATGAAATCGCTAATCGAATAATAAAGTGAAACTGAGAAAATATATAAGCTTCGTAATCTATTACAAAAATTAAAACCTGTAATTTTTTAATTACTGATAATGTTTGTCTTCAATAAATCTCTACTCACTGCTACTAACAATAATATATATTTTTAATATTTTTATTAATTAATATATATATATATATATATATATATATATATATATATATATATATATATATATATGTCTATATATATATATATAAATTCATTTTTGTAGTTCATTACTACTAACAATAATATATATTATTAATATTTTTTATTAATCATATATATATATATATATATATATATATATATATATATATATATTCATTTCTGTAGTTCACTGCTACTAACAATAATATATATTTTTTATTAATCAATACATACATATATATATATATATATATATATATAAAGTCATTTCTGTAGTTCACTGCTACTAACAACAATATATATTTTTAATATTATTTATTAATCAATATATATATATATATATATATATATATTATGGCAAACATCCAAAATTGCCTCATGTGTGTATAGTCTATTTCAGATCGGCATAATAATGCCAATCTTCATCGGTCCTGAATGCCTTTTGGAATGTCTTTCTGGACTTGTGGCTTTGAATTTATGTTAGCAGTTCTACTCAGATGGACCCCTTGTTTTTTATAAGGAGATTGTATTGCACTCTTATAATAAATACAATGAGCTCTACGTGGATCAGTTTTAATATTTGATATTACTAGGAACCACCTGGATTATATACCAGCGGATATATTACCTATACTAATATATATATAGATATATATAAAGAGAGAGAGAGAGAGAAAAGTTGAAAATATAACTGGAGTCTAAGAATATTTATTTAGAGTAACCTTCCCGGTTTCACAGTTTTATAATTTTCAAAAGTTAAATTGAGCGGCACAGACTCTTGGCTATGCGAGATATGTCATGGCATAGCCAAGAATCTCTCCATCTCAATTTAACTTTTAAAAAATGATAGAACTTTGAAACCGGTAAAGTAACTCTAAATAAATATTCTAATAAGACTCCAGCAGCCTTTTCAACTTTTTTGTTTTTGCCTATACGTCTGTCTGCGCCGATTGACTGTATTCGCTTTTACTTATTGTTGTAGCGGGCGAAAAAGAATTTGAAAATGCAACTAGAGTATTTAGGAATATTTATTTAGAGTAACTTCACTGTGAAACTGGTAAAGTTACTCTGAATAAATATTTTAAAAAGACTGCAGCTGCATTCTATATATATATATATATATATATATATATATATATATATATATATATATATATATCAGTTGAAAATGCAAGTGGAGTCTTTAAGAATATTTATTTAGAGTAACTTTACCAGTTTCACAGTTTTATAACTTGCAATTGTTAAATTGAGATGGAGAGATATATGACAAGACATATCATGGCATAGCCAAGTGTCTGTCCATCTAAATTGAACTTTTTAAAAATGATAGGATTGTGAAACCGTCAAAGTTAATCTAAATAAATATTAAAAACTCCAGTTGCCTCTTTAAACTTCTTTTTCCTATATATTTTTAATGCAGCTAATCTAAATTTCAAAATGGGAAGACCGAGTTTGGAGAAGCCATTGACAATCATTGAAATATCAGACACAACGGGTTAACATAAAATGACCAAAGAACTTGGAATACCAATACATTTTCTTCTTTATGTGCCGCGTCCCTTCAGGACGTGGGCGATCATGGCCCTCTACCCCCCCCATCCCTTGTAGCTCTCAATAAGTTTCATCCCTCTGCAACCTCCCCCAGGTCACATTCTGTCATCCATTTGCTTAATCATGCAAGGTTTATCATGCGTTGCTTCCTCTCTATTCGACCTGTGAGTATCAGATTCTCCAGAACCTCCTTTCTCATTACGCTTCCCAGAAATTTCATCTGCCTCTTGCTTTCTCCTTGTTTGTATCCTCTCCAGAGCCTCAACGTTGCTCACACGCACGGTTCATGATATCCTTATCATCCTTCTGTAGAACCGCATCTCCGTTGCCTCGAATCTCTTCATACGTCATCCAAAAGAATAATGTTGATGTTAGGAGACATTGGGATATAAAATAAAATAAAGTTTGACAATAAAGCAAAGTAAGCTACTAATGTAATCAGTATCCAACCTAGAATTAACAGCTCGTCAAGTAATGGATTAAATGATTTTCTACAGTTTATCAACCTTTTGCAGGTTATTTAAAGCCAGAAAAATATATTTTTTTAAATTGTAATCATTTTTAGATAATGATGATTTACTGATAGAAGTCATACTAATTAACCCATAGCTAGGAGGAGAAAAGGTGAATTCATACATTTCTAAAGGTTATGTGCATGTAAGTGAATATAACGAACGAATCTAACGGGAATTGGAACTCGAGTCTCCAATTAGCAATTCCGAGAAATTATCCACTACACCATCCCTGCATCCATGTTTACAGCACTTGGCATTCCCAAGTGGTCACTCATCTGGGTACTGACCAAGCTTAACTTTGCTTAACTTCGGTGATCGTAGACGAACCGGTGTTTTAACGTGATGTAGCCGTAAGCCCCCGCGATAAGAAGGATACAACATCAAAGTGATCTAAATCAATGCATTGCAACGAAAAGCATTTATTAACGAAAAATTGTGTCTATAAACATGTACCTGGTTCGTTAATTGTTTTCGTTATACTTGTGTCCCTAAATTTTACTTGGTAAGTGGCCCCTTTTTAATAGTGCTGAGAGTATTATCCAGCAGGAAATAACTCACTGACACGGCCTATAGAAAGATAGGAACATGCCATGATAAATAGATAAACAATGTTAGTCGTCTTTTTTCCTTTGATTTCGGCGAAGTAGAAATCTATACATGAATATCTTTCGAAGGCTATGTATAGTAAACTCTTCCTTGAGGATTAGGTTCTTGATCGTTGCGATTAGCTTAAACCAGATTTATTTAAACCAAGTAAACATCTACGTACACACAAAAATACAAATATACCACGCGCGCACGCACACACACACACACAATATCTATATCTATAAATGTTTTATATTCCTTACTTAACACTTTTCTCCTATAAATATAGTAAATATCAAACAATACATATGCGGGATTAAAACCTGATTAAGAAATTAAATTGCAGTGGCATTTATCTACTTAGAGAGAGTATGTAGTATGTTTCCTCTATGGGTACATGATGGCAACACCAGAAATGTCTACTTTCCTTGCCACGTCTTCATTTGGGACTCCTCGGGCATCAATTGACACTGACCTTCCCTCTTTATATACTATGAGAAACGTTTATTGGATTGCATGGAAAACACCTACACATTGCCATTGATTTTTGGTTATTTTGCATTTCTTGTCCTATAACGTGTGTAACATTTTAATAACTAAATTTAGAAAAATATTTTTTTTCAAAATAATCTGTAATCATTTTTTTTGTTTTGTTTTGTTTTTCATGTTTTGGTTCGAGATAAAGGAATAGCCGAAAGCGGTGGATAAAAATCTTTCACATATACTAATCTCTAATTTATGGAAAGAAAAAAATAATTTTTATGTCTGTGGCCTGTCAAACACCTAGTCTGACACACATACGATAAACTATACTTTTAAGGTATGCTATATTTATGGGTTAAAGTGCTCAGAGATAGAGCGTATGCAAATATAAAAGTGGACATTGAAGTCAACACCCAGAGACGACAGTCTGTTTTATCCGAAACTTAATCGTCAGGCCAGACGATTGCATTTACCATAAAGTCACCTCGAGGTATTGACTTCAATGTCCACTTATATATATATATATATATATATATATATATATATATATATATATATATATATATAGATAGATAGATAGATAGATAGATAGATAATATTAGTGGAAAATATACATACATATGCAAAATATATAAATACCCATACATGTATATTCTCAGAAAAAAAATAAATAAATAAAAATTCCAAGAGGAAGAATCTAGGTAGAACTCAATGTACAGAACAGAGTAAAGATATAATAAAAAGGCTTAAACACTAATATTCCATGGTCATAATTTATTCCATTGGAATCGTAAATACGATCCAATTCATCAGACCTACAAATTCAAAAAAAAATTCATCAGACCTACAAATTCAAAAAAAATTTGAATTTGTAGGTCTGATGAATTGGATCGTATTTACGATTCCAATGGAATAAATTATGACCATGGAATATTAGTGTTTAAGCCTTTTTTACTATATATATATATATATATATATATATATATATATATATATATATATATATATATATATATATATATATATATATATGAACATGTTTTGATGATCAAACAGCATCAGTAGAAAATGAATCTTAAATCTACAATATCGCGATATATCGGTATTTACGTTAATATATATATATGCTTGATTGTTTTTTTTTTTACCTTAAATGTATGTTTTTTAAAAATTTAGATTTTACAACTTTCAACTCAACTTTTATTTGAAGGCATTTGTATTGTGAATTGTATACAACAGCTTTCCAAAATCAACGGTTAAAAAATCGGTTTGACCGCGTAAAGCATGATGGTTCTTGGCAAAGATCATTCTCCTTTGAAGATTATCGACTGGCATTACAGATTCTCACATAACTGCACCATATAATAGAAACGACATCACTTGAGCACTACCAACAACGGCAACAACTAAAATGGATGTCACATTGAAAATAATGACTAATCAAAATGTTGACACTGCACACTACTTCAAATAAAAGGTTATGAAGTACCCTCCCCGTCCAGTCAATACAGGAAAGATCGATAACAGATACTTGAAAGATCTTTTAAGAGAAATAAATTTCAACAGGAAGCAGTCCTGGCTGTCAGTCAATGAATGCCAAATGTTTCCTTGTAGAAAAAGGGTTATTATTAACATTACCATTATTTCAGTGGCTGACGGAGCAAATCAAAAGTTATATATATATATATATATATATATATATATATATATATAGCATAATGCGAAGCCACGTATACTTTCTTAATATGTATATATAGAAAAAGTTTCAAATTAAAAATTATAATGTTTTATTTTATGAAAGTATTTATTTATTTATATATATATTTGATATTTCAAATTGTCCTCAATTTTTCATCAGAAATAACTGTTTGTTACAAATAAATTAAAATTACTGTTTGTTAGCAAGTAGCGTCCTTCGCGAGACACGGACGTCACGTGATATGGAACGTCACTGTTCGGATATTCCTAACTTAGATCTAACTGTCATAAATATTAAAAAAAAAATTTTTAATATATCTAAAAAAAAATTGCTTAACTATTGAAATATTTATAAAGATTTAAAACCTAAGTCCCTATTCAACCCTAGTTTATGTGTATTTTATTTTAAAATCCAATATGTTTCTTTTTTTCTGCGTGTGAATGTGGAAGTAAAATCGGAATCTATTAATAAACATTTGCAGTTTTCTAATGTGTGTCCTGATTGATTGTAGTGTTTAGCTATGGGGGAATAAGGTTTGTTTTGACGTATTGTTTGTTTATGGTTATTAAAACGAAATCTAAAATTGTTTCCAGTCTCACCAATATATCCACTATTAGGACATAAGTTGCAGAATAAATAATAGATTACGTTATGGGTATCGCAGGTGAGGTTAGGTGGCAGTATCCTGATATTGGTGTTGGGTACGGAAAATGTATTAGCTATTATTAAATGTTTGCAAACTAAGAAACCAAACAGGAAATTACAAATGTAACAAACCTCGTTATCTGTTTGGGTCAGTTGGGCTCTTATGTCCATCGTCTTTTGTGTTAAATTTTTATAAGTTCTAATGTTAATTATGTTTAAATGAAAATGTCCATGAAGATGGTCTTAAATAGACCGAAACGTCCGACGTCGACTTTATTTTAACATTAATACTACATAATTGCATATTCAGATTTTTTTGTTTTTCTGTATTTTTCTTTCATACTGTCGGATTTATATCCATATATTTGCTTACATATATATATATATATATATATATATATATATATATATATATATATATATATATATGATATTTTCATTTGTGCCTGACGATTTCCACGTGCAGGAAACATTTATTTGTGCGTGCCTACCTGCTATGTATATATATATATATAAATATCCGAACAGTGACGTTCCATATCACGTGACGTCCGCGTCTCGCGACGGACGCTACTTGATAACAAACAGTAATTTTAATTTATTTGTAACAAACAGTTATTTCTGATGAAAGATTGAGGGCAATCTGAAATATCAAATATATATATAAATAAATAAATACTTTCATAAAATAAAATATTAATTTTCTTAATTTGCAACTTTTTTTTTTTCTATATATATATATATATATATATATATATATGAAGAAATATAGTCTTAAGGTGTGCTATATTTATGGAATAAAGTGCTCAATATCAGAGATAGAGCGTGTGTAAATTTAAAAGTAAACATAGAAGTCAACAGTTAGAGGCGACAGTCTGTTTCATGTTATATGCAATCGTCAGGCCACCATCATATATATATATATATATATATATATATATATATATATATATATTACATAAGACAGTTAGGGGACATTATTTACAGTCGATGTGATTTTTTTTTTTTAATTATTTATTTTGGTATTCCAAATATGACCCCGCTGGTGCTAAAGTTGAATTTTCTCCCAATCGGGTCACATCTTAGCGCGAGATGTTTACCCATGAAATAATTTATTAGTTCGTTCCACTCGAGAGAACAGTTTGTGAGAAACGGAAGAGGTCAAAGGTCTTCAATGAAGAACCACGGTTACAACAGAAAAGTTGCACACCTGAGTGGGGAATATACAGGGTCAACCCTATCCACTGTGATGAACACTATTCATAAGGCAGGCAACTTTATCAATTCACCCTGCCCTTCGGAAGGTGGCCAAAATAACACCGAAAAACATAGAAGGGCTTGCTGTGTGATTTTTTTTTTAAATCTCGGTCTCATGTGTTTTATAACCATCGATAAGATCTGTAAAATGGAGTTTTCAATGCGGCCATACACTCGACTGGGATGTCATAAAATAATATATAAATGAAAACTTTGGGGATTAAGTGACAGCAAACAGGACGCTGAGAATTGCCGGTTGCAGACCTGTTAACGATTACATTTGTGATTAAAGGGAGTTCTGAACGCTCGTTAATGGGGATGCCGCCTATTAGTTTCCAGCCACAACTAGTGACGTTGGGTAGAGTAAGAGAACGAGGAGGAGTCGAGGGGAAAAGCTAATCTGTTAGTTTGGAGATCTCAGAAGTGGCAGAAGTTATCCCGGGTGCTAGCTATCAATTCAGTATTCATCCAGACCCCACAAAAATAAAAAACATAAATATATTGGAAACTGTTTTCGATTCTTCATTTCTCGTCGTGGTATTTATTTTCTCCTTTCTTTTCTTTGTTAGCGTGCATCGAGCCTTTCCCATCTATAAAGATGCATCTTGGTGTTTTATATGTCTGTGTGGTAAAAGCTAAGTGTGGTGGGTGACGTTGTATGTTTACAATATTTAAGCAAGA